TTTTTTTTTTTTTTTTTTTTTTTTTTTTTAGATTTTTGTTACAGAGCACATGTGCTATCTGGAGAGATCAAGAGAGAGGGAAAGTGAGGAATCACCCCCTTCCCGGGGGTTTGTGAGGTGGCCATGCCTCAATCCTTTCTCTTCCATTCTTCTCTTGAGATTTTGGGTATGCACACATATGCGCCTGGTGTGATTTTTCAAGCCGCCCTGTCCAGGACTCAAACTGTGGGAGTCGAGTGCCTTAACCACCACACACGCACACAACTGACTGAAGCTGGCAAAAGCCTCAGGTCTACCTGCCCCAGGACACTGGCCTGGCGTGTGGGTGGTGTGTCTTCCGCTCCCAGCAGGAGCAATCACACCTTCACCTCGCATACGAGTAATGCTTACAACAAACTCCTGATAGTCCCCTGTGCGTGCCTCATGCCTCCAGACAGGGGACACTGTTTCTTTCTTCATCATGCAATGGGAACTGTGCCAAAACAGGAGGAAACCGGCAGGCCACTTCCTCTGCAGCCCTTGGTGGCTGAGTTATTTCATCACCAATGCTCTGAGCAATGGACCACGTTTCTAGAAACACTCAAGTCACTTAAGATCAGTTCTCTCTTTTTCAGTAACATGGAGAAAACTCTAAAAATGCAACTATAGGGCCAGCCTGCAGCTTACTGGTTAATAGAGCTGGATCCCACATGGCCTACAACACGGTCAGCTCCAGTGGTTTAAAAAACAAACATGCTGGGCAGGTCTGTGCCCCAAACCCCGACAGGATGCAGAAATGAAGGAGGAAGGATTGCAATGTGACCATCCCCCAAGAGGATGGTGCTTTCTCCTTTTCTCTCTCTTTCTCTGTCTCTCTCTCATGAGCACACACACCCTCTGGCCACATTTTTTAAAAACGCAACTTCAGTACCAGCAGATGGTGTAAAGGTTATGTCGCTGGACTCCCACATAGTTGATCACAATTTGAGTCCTGGACCTGGTGACTTAAAGCTCATACCAGGCGCGTGTGCGTGCGTGCCCAAAAATCCCAAGAGGAGAATGGAAGAGAAGGGATTGCGGTGTGGCCATGCCCCCTCGGGGAATTTCTCACTTTCTGTTTCTCTTTGGTGATCACACGCGTCCTATAGCAAAAATCTCTCTGGAAAAAAAATGCAACTTCAATCTAATTCCACCTGTCAGTCTCCTCAAACTCCCTCTCCAGAAGGGTCACACGTCGCATGTGCAATGAACACGGCATCTCACACCTCAGAAGGGAGAACAGTTGAGTCTCCATGCTACTTGAAGGGCTGGTTTAGCTTTTTGTTTGTTTGTTTGTTTCTTGGTATGAGTGCGGGGGAACTTCAAAAAGTTCACAGAAAATAATGGAATTAAGTTAAAATTTTATTGTAGTACAAAAACAATTTCTGAAATCTATGCATAGCTAGATTTTCGTCATAGACATTTTCCATGATCTTTTTAAAGACACCCCTCATGTAACTTTTTATTTTGAAGTGATTTCAAACTTACAAGAAACTGTAAGAATAGAACTCTCATGTTTCCTTCACCTGAATTCCCCAGTATTTAGCATTTTACCATGTTTACTTTATCGTTTATCTCCCTATATAAAAACACATACATGTTTTTCTGGGTCCGCCCTGTAGCCTAGCAGTTAAGGGAGCCAGGTCACACATGGCCAACTATGGGTCCCACCCCTGGTTGCTTGAAAACCATGCTGGGCACGTGTATGTCCAAAATCTTGTCTGGATGGAGAAATGGAGAAGGGATTATTGCATGACCTCCCCTCATTGGGGTGGGGGGTGTTTCTCCCTCTCTCTGTATCTCTCTCTGGCAAACACATGAACCCTATGGCAATTAAAAACACACACACAAGGGACCAGCAGATGGCGTGGTGGTTAAGGCTCTGAACACTCCCTCGTGGCCAACCATGGTTCAAGTCTTGGGCCTAGTGGCTTGCTTTCTCGTTTTCCCTCTCTCTTTCTTTCTCTCTCTGGTCAAATAAAAAAAAAATGAATGAATAAATAAAAATTAAATAAAAAAAGTATTTAAAACACACACACACAAGCGCACGTACACATATATACACACAAACACACACATATACATTTTTTCCTGAGCCATTTTAGAAGTCGCAGACATGGTGGCCCTTTACCCTAAATACTCCAATGTGTAGTCTCTAAGAACAAAGGTGGTTTTTGTTGTTGTTATTGTTTTATTTGCTTTATGGCATGTGCGCTCAGAGGAGAGAAACAGAGAAAATAAGAGAGAGAGAAAGTGAGAAAGCACCCTCCTCCCCAAGAGGAGATGGCCACACCGCAATCCCTTCACCTCCATTCTCCTCTCAGGATTTTCACATGCACGCACATGCGCCTGGCGTGTTTTTCAAGCTGCCAGGTCTTGGACCAGAACTGAGCAGTTGGCCATGTGGGATTCAGCCACCTTAACCACAATACCACCTACCTGGTCCAGAACAAGGGCATCCTTTAAATAAACACAATGCAATTATAAAAATCAGGAATTAATATTGATACAATATCATCTAATATAAAGTTTTACTCAAAGAGTGTAACTGTCTCAATATCCTTCATTGCAAAAGAAAAAGTGGCCAGTCCGAGATTCTATTCAGAATCACACACTGCATTTAGTTGTCAAATCCTTCATGCAAACTATTCTCAGCCTAAGTGAAGACCCTTTTAACACTTCTCATGGACAGAAGCACTCTACCCAAACTGCTTGCCATCCAGAACTCTCACCTGTAGAACCTCCGCAGTATACCCAGCACTAATCGGTCTGGTATGGCAAATGTATTTTTTACAGAGATGTTTGTTATAGGGTGCGTGTGCTCACGAGAGAGAGACAGAGAGACAGAAAGCAAGAAATTAACCCTCAGGGGGATGGTCACATCGCAATGCCTTTTCTATTCTCCTCTTGGGATTTTGGGCACTGAGTTTCACACCGTTGGATCTGGGACTCGAACTGCATTTGACTACGTGGGAGTTAGTGTCATAACTATTATGCTACTTACTGGTTCCAGCAATTTTTATAGCATCTGGCAACCACTTCCAGCTGTCACAGTTCACAGTGTTAGGAGTAATGATGAAAGATGATAGAGAGCGATCTCCGCACCCAGGGGCGACAGCCCAAGGTCTCCTAGCCAGCAACCGAATTCAACGCTCCCTATGGTCACAGCATAGCCCTGAACATTCTCCCAAGATGGAAGCTGGGGACAAATCTTGTGGCCTAGTAGTTAAGGGAACCAGATCTCACATTTGTAGAACCCCCTTTGTAGAACCTAATGAATTTACAAGGGCTAAGGCATGGATTCAACTCAAATGTTCAAGAACACACGAATGGATTAAAAAGGTGTGGCACATATACACTGTGGGATACTATACGGCCATAAAAAATGAATCCTCACATTTGATACAAAGTAAGTAAATATGAAAGATTTAATACAAAGTGAAGCAAGCCAAACTCTGAAAGAGAGACATTGTATGTCCCCATTGACTATTACTATATACCAAATGTCTGTACTCTATGGCAGAAACTGAAAGATTAGAAGATATAAAAGCATGGAGAGCAGCTGTGGATACTAGAGACAGTGTGTGGGGGGGTGGGCAATAGCAGGTAGAGAGAGCATCAAGGGGGAAAAAGGCAGAACATTTCATGGACACAAAAATTGAAAAATATCTGTTGATAATAATGTGTATGGTAATATCTTTGACTCGACTAATATGCAGTGTATTCATGCTGAGAAAACTCATTTTGAAGTCTAAGATATACAGTGATTAAATATGAAAAAAAATGCTGTTAAGATATACAGTGATTAAATATGAAAAAAATAAGAAAAAAGAGAAAAAATAAGGAACTTACAAAAAAAAAAAAAAAAGAAAGAAAGAAAAACATGCTGGGTACATGTCTATGCATACCCAAAACCCCAGCAGGATGGAGAAATGGAGGAGAAGGGATTGTAGCATGACCATATCCCATTAGGGGGTGTTTTCTTCCTCCCCCTCTCTCTGTGCCTTTCTCTGGTAAGTATATATGCCCTCTAGCAATTAAAAAAGTTTTCATATATATGCCAAGCAGTGAAAAGCAGCAAAGCTGAACACCCAGGCACTGAGCCTGAAAGCCAGCTGCTTCAGGGATGAGCTTCTCCCAAATGTGACTGGTCACCCCCTTCCTCACCTTGGGTGAGGAATGGATTAAAAAGATGTGGCACATATACACTGCGGAATATTATACAGTCAGTCCTCCAGGTTCCAGGCTACTCCATGAGCACTGAAAATGAAGCTGCCCTCAAAGCTCTTGTTCTATAGGCTGAAATACAATTACCCTCTGCCACAAGGACCAGCAGTTAGCATAATGGCTACGTCGCTGGACTCCTGTGTAGTCGACTGTGGTTGGAGTCCCAGATCCGGCGGCTTAAACTTACGCCAGGTGCATGTGCGTGCATGCCCAAGATCCTGAGAGGAGAACGGTGGAGAAGGGATGGAGGCGTGGCCATCCCCCCTAGGGGGTGATTTCTCACTTTCTATCTCTCTGTCTCTCTCCGTCTTTCTGGCGAGCGCACGCGCTCTATAGAAACAAAGAAAAAGAAAAGAAATAACCTCTGCCACAGAGGGATGCAATTATTCTCTCTTACCCGTTACTTGATAAACGGAGATCTTAGCAATCTCATTCGCTCTGCCCACGCCACACCAGCTGTTTGGAGTCATCGCCTGAGTGAAAAGCTGTTTTAAGCTGTGTTTTCTGTCGCTACACATGCTCACCTGCCCCAAAGTCCACGGTGGCATACAGGCCCTGCAGGGCCCCGCACTGTAGTAATTTCTCACGTGCTCCATCGGTGGTGAACAGAAGCGCATCGTCCCCCAGGTGGTGGCGGAAGAGCTTCTGCAGGAAGCGCAGGTAGTCATAGTCGCAGCTAAAGTACCTGCCGTATTCATTTTCAACCTGCACATGAAAAAACAGGAAGGAAGAATGAGGGATCCCAACGCAGCCTATCTACTGTAAGCTTCTGACTGGGGAAAGTGTCTAAGCATCCGCTGAGATGGCAGGGCTCGCTTAACAACTGCCAGAAAAATCTCCTTTGCTCAGACCTCAAGGCTGGCCCTTGGCCTAGTGGTTAAGGGAGCTGCACCCTGCCTGACCGACTGTGGTTCAAATCTCAGCACCGTGTGGCTTGAAAAACACACCAGGCACATGTATGTGTACATCCAGATCCCAATGGGCTGGAGAAATGGTTCCAGCACACACCCCACTGCGAAGTACTTTTTCCTCCCCTCCCCCTGGCAAGTAAATGCATCCCTCTGGCAATTAAAAAGGAAAAAAAAAAAAAAAAAAGAACTGAGTTTTCTAAAAACCAACTTGGCGGGGACCAGCAGAAAAACCAACTTGGCGGGGACCAGCAGTTAGCATAATGGCTATGTCGCTGGACTCCCATGTAGAAGACTGTGGTTTGTGTCCTGGACCCAGTGGCTTAAACTCACGCCGGGCGCGTGTGTGTGTGTGCCCAAGATCCCGAGAGGAGAATGGAGGAAAAGGGATTGTGGTGTGGCCATCCCCCCGGGGGGTGATTTCTCACTTTCTGTCTCTCTGTCTCTCTCTCTCTGGCGAGCGCACGCGCCCTATAGCAAAAACCTCTCCAAAAAAAAAACCCAACTTGGCAAAAAGCTTTCCTTCTACATGGGCCCATCTGGTGCATGGTGCATGGTGTTAAGGCAGATCTCACAAGGCTGACTCTGCAGTTCAAGTCCCTGACCGGGCAGCTTGAAAATCACACCAGGCACAAGTGCATATGTGTCCAAAATCCTGAGAGGAGACCGAGGAGAAGGGAGCATGCCATGGCCATCGCCCCTGGAGGATGATTTCTCACTTTTCTTCCCTCTTTCTCTCTGACTCTTTCTGGTAAGTGCAAAACTTAAATGCTTTACAGCAAAACTTAAAAACAAACAAACAAAAAAAACCCACAAAACTTTCCTTCTACCACCCTTCCCCACCACCCAGATAAGAAAAAGAAAGTGGGACCAGCAGTTAGCGTAATGGCTATGTCGCTGGACTCCCACGTAGTCGACCGCGGTTCAAGTCCCGGACCCAGTGGCTTAAACTCAAGCCAGGCACATGTGCGTGCGTGTCCAAGATCCCGAGAGGAGAATGGAGGAGAAGGGATTGCGGCGTGACCGTCCCCCCTGGGGGGTGATTTCTCACTTTCTGTCTCTCTGTCTCTCTCTGTATTTCTGGCGAGCACACGCGCCCTATAGCAAAAACCTCTCCCCCCCCCCAAAAAAAAAAATGTGGTTTGGAGAACTGAGTAGTACGTGCAGGGCAGCCAGCATAGAACCTGATACACAGCAGGCATTCCAAAATCCATGAAGCCATGCCTCCCCAAAGGCAATTAAATAAAAGCATCACCTGCCGCTTTATTTATTTATTTATTTTGCCAGAAGGCACATGCATGAGAAGCAGAGAGAGACAGAGAGACAGAGAGACAGAGAGAGCAGTCACCCTCTATGACCAGCCTGTTGGTGCCACAATCCTTTTTTCCTCCAATTCTCCGTTTCTTCTAGATTCTGGTCATGGATGGGTGCACACCTGCATGGTTTTCAAGATGCCAGAGCAAGGACTCAAACCCTGGTTGGCCACGTGGGATCCACTGTCCTCTGTACAGTATTTAATTGCTGCCCTGTGGGACTGGCCCTGCAGCATTACTTCTTAAAGAATCAGACTTACGAGATGCACATCTGCTCCCACCCATCATTTGTATAATGTCATGAGATGGAAACTCCCCCGGGACCAGCAGTTGGCGTAATGGCTATGTCGCTGGACTCCCACGTAGTCGACCGCAGTTCACGTCCCGGACCCGGTGGCTTAAAACTCACGCCGGGCGCCTGTGCGTGCGTGCCCAAGATCCCGAGAGGAGAATGGAGGAGAAGGGATTGCGGCGTGGCCGTGATCCTGGGGGGTGATTTCTCGCTTTCTGTCTCTCTGTCTCTCTCTGTCTGTCTGGCGAGCGCACGCACCCTATAGCAAAAACCTCTTCGAAAGAAAAAGAAAAAAAAAAGTAGAAAATTTTAAAAAAGGAGAAGAAAGAAGTTCCCCCCAACTGCCAGCCCATGCTCAACTCCATGGCTACCTGCACTGTGATAATTGGTCCTCCGTTCTGATAGAGCAGGGGCTTCATCTTGGGCAGAAGGACTCCCAACCACTTGTCCACAGCTGCAAGGTAATCTGGAAGACAGGACAGGCTAAGCATCATTGCACGCTTCTTACTACGAAAAGACACCAGTGCAGCCTTATTATGCTGGGGCTGGCAGTGGAGATCAGGGTATACCAGTGTCTATAAGGAGCTCCGAAAATGGGCAGCTATTCTCAGCAAACGTCCTGCAAGGCAGCCGTCTGCTCAGCTGAACTCAGTCATGGTCAAGGGCCAGTATGCCTGGGATCTGCCCTCGCCATAGGGCGTGAACCTGAAACTCAGGCTGCGTCCAGCCAATGTTTACCAAACGCACACGAAGAGTGACAGAAAGCCATGTCCCTCTCTCAATCACACCCAGGCTTTTCCTTGTTCTTTCTTTCTTTTTTTCTTTTTCTTTTTTTTTTTTTTTTTGAGAGATTTTTGTTACAGGGCATGTGTGCTCACCAGAGACAAAGAGAGAGACAGAAAACGAGAAATCACCCCCCAGGGAAGATGGCCATGCCATAATCCCTTCTCTCCCAGTCTCTTCTTGGGAACTTGGGCATGCAAGCACACGCGCCCAGCCTGAGTTTTAAGCTGTTGGATCCAGGACTCGAACCATGGTCAACTACATGGGAGTCCAGCAACATAACCATTATGCCATCTGATGGTCCCTAGGCTTTTTTTATTTTTAAAACTGAGTTCTAGTAAATGATACATTTACATTGGCAAATATGGATAACAGAAATACAGGCTTCATAATGTTGCCGAAAGAATTCATGATGTTGCTGAATTACATAAACATAGAATTGAAAAATATATATACACAAATAATATACTAGATACAGAGGGAACTACATACATAGCATAAGACACTAGCCTTTAATACGGGAAACTTAACCAGTATTAGCTACTGTTATAATAATCTTCACCAACACCACTTCCACCATCACCACCAACCCTAAGAGAAACTGAAGTCTTCAGAAGATAGAAATACAGCAAAATGTGACCTTCTGACTGATCAGGGTTTACAGCTAAAGAATATCTGAATGGTTTAAAAAGATGAGGGAAGGGGCCAGCAGACGGCGTGGTGGTTAAGGTGCTGGACTCCCACCCCACATGACTGACAGCAGTTCGAGTCCTGGACTCAAAGGCTTGAAAAATCTCGCCCAGGAAGCATATGCATGTACGCCCAAAATCTCAAGAGGAGGTTGAGGAGAAGGGATTGTGGCGTGGCCATCCCATTTGGTGGGTAACTTCTCACTTTCCCGCTCTGTCTCTGCCACTGTTTTTCCCTCTCCGGCGAATGCATGTACCCTATGGCAAAAAAAAAAAAAAAGACAAGGTGCTCTAACTACCAAGAAATCCAGAGATGACATCCCAGAAAGTGCGTCCAGCATTTTGGTGAGCTGGGTGTTGTCACTTGCTGTTTAATCTAAGTACACAGAAAGGGAAAGTATTGAAGTCGGTTGGTCAACCACAGACAGGGCACAATGCCAGCTCAAAGGGTTACCAGTGTATAGCAAGATCTGGTTAAATATCAGGTTGATGGAAAAGCCATGACATATTTTATTCTTTCTATGCGAAAACGCATCATGATTTTTCTGACAACGCAATAGCTCGCTAGCACCTAACTTCTTCCAGGTTCAACGCCTGGTGTTTTGCAGTGGACAAGGGCTAGAACTCAGACACTCACTATAGTTACGACGGTATTTGGGCAGAAGTTCCCCGGCTTTAAAAACGCTTGGCCCTTTTGATATAAACATGGTAAGCTTTCATATATTCGCAAGACATTTGTAACAACTTACCTGGGTCAGAAGAGCGAAGAACAATAGATTCCTTCTCTAATAGCCAAGCAGGTAATCCCCCCTAGAGAGAGGGGGAGAACACCGAAGAGATGATAATGGCCATTTTAGGGCTCAGGAGAGAGAGAAATTACTATTCGCAGGGATGGAAAAGAAGACAAGCTTCAGGGGGAAAGGCATTTGAGCTGGGCTTTCTGGTTTGTAACTTTCAGAGACCCCAGACATGGGATGCGGTAAAAATCAACATCGTTCTGCATGCAGTGCTCTGAGACTCAAAGCCTTTTTCACAACTGCCTTGTGAAGCACACAAAGCAGATTATTCACAGGTTTGTGTAGACAAGGAAACCGAGTTCTGCGAGTGGCCATCGAGGGGAGAACTCATGCACTGACCTGTCCCTGCTCCTCGTGGCCCGAGCACCTGGCTGAAGTTACAGACACCAGGGTTGTCACAGCTCAGCACTGGGGTCTACTATGCCCTGACCCCTGCTGCTAGCCGGCCCGGCCTCACACTCACCATGTCCCACTCGGCACAGATGTAGGGCCCAGGCCTCAGGATGACCAGCAGTCCCAGCTCATGAGCCAGCTGAATAAAATATTCCACATCATGGTCCTCAGAAAACCGGTACTGTCCTGGCTGGGGCTCATGAAAGTTCCAGGGCACGTACCTGCCAAGACACAAAGCGCTTGCTGGATACCTGACAGCCGAGGGGGGTGGGAGAAGGGGCCTCCTTAGGACTACTGGTAATGGGGAAGAAGAGTGGGAAGAGCTTGGTTAAGAAAAATTATCCAAGGGCCAGCCCCAAACCCTGTGATTCAGGGAGCCAAATCCTATATGACCGGTAGTGGTTCGAATCCTGGCACTGGCAGCTTAAAGAACATGCTAGGCACATGCGTGTGCCCAAAATCCCAACAGGAAGAAGAGACACAGAAGGGATGGCAGCAAGGTCATGGCCCCTTGAGGGGTGCTCTCTCCTCTCCCTCCATTGCTCTCTGGCAAGTGAAGGGAAGGGAAGAGGAAAGAAGGGAAGGGGAGGGGAGGGGAGGGGAGGGAAGGGGAGGGAAAGGAAGGGAAGGAGAGGGAAGGGAAGGGAATGGAAGGGAAAGGGAAAGGAAAGGAAAGAAAAAACAAAATAGAAAAGGACACAAGTTAATGGAAAGATAATCCATGTTCATAGATTGGAATAATTAACATCACTAAAATGATCATACTACCCCAGTCTATAGATTTAATACTGTTCTATCAAAATTTCAATGACATTTTTCATGGACATAGAAACAAAATTCCTAGAATTAACATGGAAGCACCAAACATCTTGAATAGCCAAAACTATCCCGAGCAAACAACAAAACTAGAGGCATCACACTGACTAACTTCAAAACATAGTGCAAAATGATAGTAACCAAAATAACATGGTATTGGCATTTTAAAAAGGCATAAAAACCAATGGAATAGGATAGAGAGCTTATAAATAAATCCATGAATAAGAGGGAAGGAAAGGGGAGGGAAGAGAAGGGAGGGGAAGGGAGGGGAAGGAGAGGAGGGGAGGAAAAAGAAAGGAAAAAAATCATCCAGAACTTGGAAGGCAGGCCAGAGGATGACTGTGTTTCCTCCCCACACCATATTGGAAGACTCAGCGGGCCCACAAACTTCTTTCCATCTCCGCGCGAACACTGTGTCTGACTTATCAGGGACTTTAATTCCAAGACAGACTCTGAAGTTAGAGATTAATTTGCAGATTTTGGCCTGGCAGAGATATCGTTTGTAATATAGAGAAGATAACTCCAAAGGTTAGGTTTCATTGCCTTTTAGGATATCCACCAGTTTGAGCTCTAAAGACTAATTTTTGGGGCGGCGGAGAAGCAGCCAGCCCCATGGTGCAGCAGGTAAGCCTAGTGGTTAAGGGAGCCAGCTCCTACGTGGCCAGTCGTGGTTTAACTCCTGGCTCTGGTGGCTTGAAAAACACCAGGCACGTGTACATGCATGTGTGCCCCAAACCTAACGGGACGCAGAAATGGAGGACAGAGTACGAGACAGAGGCTAGCATGGCCAGTTAGGTCTCATGATCATAGCTTGTGCAGGTCGACCAGGGAGCTGAACTTGTCATCTTCCTTATGGATCTGGCTTTGTTTGGGAGGTGCACCCCTGCACCACCGAGCTGGCCCTCTGAGATAAACCGATCTCAGCATGCCCTTCTGGGCTGACTAGATAAACCTCCCTTCCATAAATTCTCCTTTGCATCGGCTTTACCATCTGGCTCGTTCCCTCCATAATGAATGAAACAGAATCTTGACACATGCCCGTCTGTTTGCTAAGTCACGGTTTTCACTTACTGTAATTCTATGAATACTTGGCATAAATCATTGGCTAGGAGTGCTCTGGGGAAGGTAAGGGGAAATAGCTGAGAAGATCCAGATCTTCTGCAGGGCGTCCACAGAAAGAGAGACCCACAGGTCCACAGACCTTCCCTCGGGCAGCTTCTCGGGCCTTGTTAGTTCTCACGGCAGCTACCCAGCTAGTCAGAGTCAGACGCGATGGGACATGTTGGCGTTTCTGACCCACCGAGAATGCCCATTCCCATCTAACTCTGGATTTTGACAGAGAACTACATTTAGGGCCAGCCTATAGCACAGTGGGTGAGCACGGTACAGTGGGAGGTGGAGGCCGCATGGTTCAAATCCCCACCACCCTAGTGTCTTGAAAAACACGCTTGGCATGTATGTGTGTGTGTGTGTGTTCCCCAAATCCTGACAAGATGGACAAATGGAAGAGAATAATTAGCAGCATAACCACACGCCCCACTGGGAGGTGGGGAGTGCCTTCTTTCTCTCCCTCTCTGGTGACTGTACATGCCTCTGAAAACAAATTAAAAAAAAAAAAGCTAGGGGTTGGCAGGTGGCGTGATGGTTGAGGTGGTGGACTCCTACATGGTCAACCGCGGTTCGAGTCCCAGATCTGGTGGCTTTCCTGCCTTTCTCTCACTTTCCTGCTTTCTTTCTGGTCCAATTAAAAAATAATAATAAATACAATTAAATAAATAATTATTTTTTAAAAGCTGTTTAAAAAGAGAGATACATATAAATGATGGTCTATTAACTTAAAAGTTTCTCAAATTAATCTTTTCTAAAGAATTATTTTATTTAACTTTATTTATTTTATTTTGACCACAGAGGGACAGAGTGTGAGAGAGACAGAGAGCAAAAGTGAGAAAGCAATTCGCCAGGTCTGGGACTTGAACTGCAGTTGGCCATGAGGGAGTCCAGTGCACTTAACCTCCACCCCACCTGCTGGCCCCTCTTAAATCAATCTTTATGGAAACTATATAAAGAAAGAGAAAATATTTCAACAAAGTGTAAACTTGAAAAAAGCAAAAACAAAGACCCACTCCCTCCTCCGTCAGCTCCAGATCTTGGGCAGGAACGTGCCCAGGGTTCTCAGGGCTGCCAGGAGTGGGGAGAACTCTGGAAATGAACCCAGAGCCTTTTCATGGGGTCAGTCTTACATAGTATCAGCTTTGTTTTGTTTTAGATTTTGCCATAGGATACATGCACTCACCAGAGAGAGAGACAAAGAGACACAGAGAGAGAGGAACTGAGAGATCATCCTTCTTTTCTAGTCTCCTCTCAGGATTTTGGACACACACACACACATGCACCTGGTGTGTTTTTCAAGCCACCAGATTTAGGATTTGAACTGCAGACTCAGCCATGTGCAATCTAGCACCTTAACCACCACGTCACCTGCTGCACCCCCACCCCCAGCATCACGTTCTATCACCACCATCCGGCCTCCTCTCTCGGTCTTTAAATCGAATGCTAAATTGAATGCCTTGATTTTCATTTTAGGATTTCAAGGTTCAGGACTGGAAGTGGTTGTAATGACACCAAGAAGGCCCAGTCCACTCACAGCCCTCCCAGAGGCCACACTGGAGTGGACTTGTTCCCATTTCTTTCTCTTTTATTAAATAATTATTTATTTAATTTACTCATTATTTTATTTTAATTTGACTAGAGCAGAGAGAGAGAGAGAAAGAAAGTGAGAAAGCAATCTACCAGGTCCAGGACTGGAACCATGGTCAGCCACGCCGGAGTCCAGCACCTTAACCATCACGCCACCTACTGGCCCCAAGACTTGCTCCCCTTTCTGAGCAGTGAAAGGACTGCACTGGGGAAATGCGGCCACACCCTCTGCAGCGTGGGCCACGTGCCCGCCCCTTACGTCTGGATGGCGTTCAGCCCCGCCATCCTCATCTTCAGCAGCCGGTCCTTCCAGTAGAAGCGAGGCACGCGGGAGTAGTGGATGCTGCCCGAGATGTAGCGGAAGGGCTGGCCGTCCTTGAGGAAGCGGTCCCGCCTGTAGTCGATCTCGAACGTTCTCCCAGACGCATTCTGCAGAGCGAGGGTGGAGCCACGTGAAAACTCTACCTTCATTTAGTTCTGCATTAACGTTTTATATATGTATTTCTTCTGGGGGGGGCGCGAGAGAGACAGCACCCCCAACATCTTCCAGCCACAATCCACCCCCAGCCTTAGGCCACGCCGGTCACAGGCATGCACACGGGCACGCACATGTGCACACAGCAGCAAGGGAGACCTCAGGATGCAAAAACAGCGGCCTCCCATGAGGGCCCAGCAGGGCAGAGCACTGTGTAACCCGGGTGCCACCGGCCGGCACCACCTGCATTTCAGAACCTTTGACAGAGGCCGGTCTCCTGCCTCTTTAGTTTACACGACTGCTGACAGGGTTAATGCTTGGTTTCTGGGCCATCACCCAGAGCATGCCACGCCAGGCCCACCTGATTGCTGTAAGTGAGGGGTTTTCACAGGGCCCGGCTTCCAGAGGTCCGCAGTGAGCTGACGTCACTGCAGCGTTGTTCTTAGGGCCTGGGGAAGCGCATGTGCAGGTGTGTGAGCACACACACACACACACATCCTGTGGCCGTGGCTTCTCTGAGCACTAGATACTCAGCAGCAATGTCCCTGGGATCTTTAAACCTTTTTTTTTAGTTTTTGCCATAGGGCCTGTGCACTCATTGGAGAGAGACAGAGAGAGGGCAAGTGAGAAATCACCCTCAGGGGGATGACCACGCCACAATCCCTTCTCCTCCATTCTCCTGTCAGGATTTCGGGTACACATGCACACGTACCTGGCATGAGTTTCAAGCCACTGACTCGGGGATTCAGACCACAGTCAGCCATGTACACCACCTGCTGGCCCCACTGCCTACTAAGAAAATCTTAAATATGACCTCCAGGGCAAGGAACAATGAATAATTAGAAGCCAGAAGCTCTGAGAGCCAGCAGGTGGCATAGTGGTTAAAGTGCTGGACTCCCTCATGGCCGACAGCAGTCTGAGTCCTGGACCAGCAGATTGAAAATCACGCCAGGCACATGTACGTGCGTGCCCAAAATCCTGAGAGGAAAACGGAGGAGAAGGGATGGTGGTGTGGCCATCACCCCCCCTCCCCCGCCACCAGGGGGTGACTTCTCACTTTCCCTATCGCTGTATCTCTTCAGAGAACACTCGTGCCCTATAGCAAAAACTTATGACAACAAAAAGCCCGGAAGCCCTGGAGCCCATCCTAGTATACCCTCGCTCCAAACGTGGGTGTCCCGAGTCCTGCAGTGACTGGCCAGGTTCCCTCTCTAACCCTACATCTTCTTAACTATAACTGTCCAGGGTCTCAGACTAAAGAAACTTTAAGGCAATATTTTTCTTTTTCTTTTTTGTTTTAAATTGCCAGTGGGCGCGTGCAGTCACCAGAGAGAGAGAGAGTGCACATACACTTGAAAGGACTAACACCCCCCCCATGGGGCATGGTCACACAATCCCTCTCCTCCCTGTCTCCAGCCTGCTGGAATCTTACACATGCATGCACATGGGCCCAGCATGTTCTTCAAGCTGCTGGGGTTAGGGTCTAAACTGTGGTCAGCCAGGTGGGATCTGGTTCCTTAACCGCTAGACTATGGGGCCAGCCCAGCAATATATATATCTTTAATTTTCTCTTGTAAAAATAATGATTTTATTTAACTTGATTTATTTTAATTTGAATAGAGATGGACAGAGTGCGAGAGAGAGAAAGAGAAAGTGAGAAAGCAAGCTGCCGGGTCTGGGACTCAAACCGCGGTCGACCATGTGCCCTTCACCACCATGCCACCTGCCGCCCCCCTAGCAGTACTATTTTCATTGTAGGCTGCAAACCAGTTTGTGCGTAACAGACTCATTTTGGGTGGTGATGGGTACCTTTTTCGATGAAAGGGTAGAAAACATCAGAGATAATGCATGTAGTCAAGTCGCTTCAGAAGCTAAGATGCTAGGATTTTAAAAGGGAACCTCATCCAGCTTAGGGCAGCTGCGTCCCACATAGCTAAATGTGCAATTTGAGCCCTGGACTCAGGGGCTTGAAAAACATGGTGGGCACGTGTGTGCACATCCTAAGAGGAGAATGGAGAAGGGATGGTGGTGTGACCAGCGCCCCCGGGGATGCTTTTTCACTTTCCATTGCTTTCTTTCTCTCTCTCTCTAGTGACTGCAGGTGCTCTGTAACAAATAAAATATTTTTTAAAAGAATTAGAAAAGGAAGACCTTATGGGGATGCCTACTGTTAGAGTGGAACACTGCCCTCTGGTGGATGGAAAAGGTAGCAACAGGCCACAGGTGCCAACAGGCCAGGGCTAGAAGGTAATTCGTATTCTCCATTATCCCAAAGACTCTTTTTTTTGGGGGGTGGGGGGTGGGGAAGGTTTGCTATAGGGCGCGTGCGGTCA